AAAAAAGAATATATAGATTCTCAAAATCTCACAAAAGGAAAACATCCCAACTACATCAGCTACAGAAAAAGCAACACTACTTCAACCAGGGTTGCAACTGGGATTTGTTAATCACATTCCTGATACAAGACTTGTATTCTAAATATATATAGAAAAAGTCATATGACAACAATAAAAAAGACAAGATAAAAGACAAATAATATGATAAATAATGAGCACAGACTGTGAGTAGACATTTCTCCAAATAAGAAATACAAATGTCCAATAAGCATATGAAAGACGCTAGACATGAGTCATCAGGAAAATGCAAATCAAACCAAAGCAGATTCCTGTTCACACCACTAGGATGGCTGTGCAGACAGACACACAAGTGCTGGCGAGGACATGAGGACAGTGGGACTCTTACACATGGCTGATATGAAGTAACGTGGGGAAGCCACTTTGGAAAACAGCCTGGAAGGTCCTCAAAATGGTGAGCATGGTGATCACATAATACAGTAATTACACACTTAGATACCCAGGAAAATCAAACAAATAACAACACAAAATTAGTACAGTCATGAGCCAAATAACATTTCAGGCCAAGATGGACCGCATATATGAAAGTGGTCCCATAAGCTATAATGTAGCTGAGAAATTCCTATTGTAGCCACTGTAATGTCATAGCACAACGCATTTCTCACAAGTTTGTGGTGATGCTGGTGTGAACAAACATACTGTGTCATCAGTCATACAAAAGTATAGCACATAAAATAATGTACATAATACTTGATAAAGATAATAAAGGACTATGTCAATGCTTTATGTATGTATTGTTGTAGGGAAAACTTCCCAAGGTCCCAAGAGACCGAAGGAAGAGACTGACAACTCCAGCATTCAACAAAAAGTTTATTAAAGGATCTTAAAGACAAAAGCAGAGTCTTGGGCTGCAGCAAGATGGCACCTCTGCAGCAAAAAGGTGACATGGGTGATATATATGTACACACACACACACACACACACACACAAACACAGGTGGCTTGTAGCCATGTGGCACAGGCCAGGGTTGTAGCTGAGGAGCAATAGGCTGTATCCCATAGCCTAGGGGTGTACTAGGCTATATCAACAAGGTTTGTGTAAGTACACTCTAAGATGTTTGCATGACAATGAAATCCCCTAAGGATGCATATCTCAGAATGTATCCATCCTTAATAGGCACATGACTGTATTAAATGTATTCACAGCAGCATGATTCATAATATCCAAAAAGTGGAAACAATTTAAAAGTCCATTAACTGACTTGGATAAGCAAAATGTGGGATGTTAACACAATGGAATATTATTTGGCAATAAGAGGAACGAAGTAGTGATTCCTAGCACAAACTCAATGAACCTTAAGGACATTACCAGGCTTCACAAAAGACCACACAGAGTATGAAACTGCTTACATGAAATATACAGAAGAAGCAAATCTACAAAGATAAAAAGTAGATGAATAAATTGCCAGGAACCAGGCATGGGGGATGGGACTAAATGCAGGATGATAGACAGTAGACACAAGTTTTCTTTTGGGGTGATAAAAATGTTCCAAAACTACAATATGAGGGTGGCTGCACAATTCTGTAAATATACCAGACACCATTAAATTTTATAATTTAAACAGGTAAACTTTATGGTATGTAAATTATACCTCAATTAAAGCTGATTTTGAAAAATTCAGATAAACTAAAAATACATCCTTCTTAAACTTGGCATTTTTATTTAAATACAATAGAACTAGAACAAATAAAAATATGAAAAAGGAACAAAATACAGATGATTCAGAAATTAAGCAAATTGAGATATTACAAACCACTTGTGGGGAGAGATATTTTTAGATTAGCTGTAACAGGATAAATGTAAAGACATAGCTGAGATGATGCAAGGAAACAGAACATCTGAGAATGTCCATGGTCACTACAGAAACACAATCAGTCAATTCAAATACCTCCACACTCTAAATGTAGTTCTCAAAAGGTTCCTAGGCCACCTAGGATCAGTGATTCCAAAATGTAGAAAGAAATTGCAGGATATTACCGAAACCAGAAAGGAACAATTCAAAACATATTCAAAGACAACATTCACAGATATAAAGGCAAAGGGCTTTTTGAAAAGCAATCGAACACATAAATGTATAAAATGCATAAGTCAAAACCAAGTTCATTTCATTCCAGAAAGATGGATTAAATATTGGTTTTTCAATGAGTACAATTTCCTCCGTTAATGGAAAAAAAGACACACAAACTATAGGCTTCCAATCCATAGATGGTGAGGACACGCCTGTCTTATGTCACTGTTCATGAATGACAATACAACTTAAAGAGAGAAGGGAACACGCATAAAACCCAGAGCCAACTTACTCTTTAACGGCAAAATGTTACAACTGCTCCCTCTGAGATCGGGAACAAGGTGCGCATAGACATGGGCACAGTCTACGCCTGTGAAGGCCTGCCAGTGCAGCCATCAAAAACAAGCCAGTGGAAAAAGATTTACAAGTAGCTAAAAACTAAATTTCATTAGTACCAGACAATAATATTTAGCAGTTAGAAAGCCCCAAATCCTGCAGACAAATTATGAAATACATAACTGATCATAGTAAGGTGCTGGTTAAAGTATAATATTCAAAAATTAATGTCAGTTCCATGTACAGTGACAGGAAGAAAATGACATTTTGAAAGAAACCATTTAGTCTCCTTCCTAGGTGCCTGGGTGCCCCACCTGCCTTCACCACTGACTCAAGGACACGGTAAGTTCCAACAAGGACCTCGAGATGAAACTAGAAGCATTGTGTTCTATTTCTAGAGAAGATTAAAGCTTCTGGGAATTTTCTGGTTTCCTTTCAACATAGGATGAAAACAGTAATCCCAAAGTTGCCCTAATAGAAATTTCTATCCTGTCCAGGGAACAAGAGGGAAGAGCAGCCCAGTGTGCGCCCACTCAGACCTTCAGCCAGCTTCCCACAGCGCACAAGGGAACCCAAGTCAGAGGTGAAAGCCCTTCCCAGGTAAGGGGACAGGCTCTTCCTACTGACAGGTAGCACAGGTTAGACCCTCTCAGGAAAAGGGAGAGGGAACCCCAAATGCCAGGAAACTGAATTCTGGGTCCCCCCACACCCTACTCTACCTCCCCAATGTGGAAACAACCCCTCCTCCAGGGCCTCAATTCTCAATAAAGAGGAAACACTAGGCTAGAATCAGTTTAATTCTGACCCAAATTAACTCTCAAATGCATCAATTTCCCTTCAACAGTAAAATCCAAATGTTCACTCTCTGACTCTGACCATCATAGACTTGCTCTGTTTGTACAAATCACACTTAACTCCAACAACTCTGGATAATGCCAAACCAACCATCCCAGGTCACAGTTCGTAAAATCTGCATTAATCTTTGACATCAGCTATTAACAGGAAGTGGGACTTTATCACACACTGTCACAAACTCTGCGCCCTGAATGGAAGAGTCACTATGATTTTTATGAATCTTTTTAATCCATACTTCCAGCAAACTCATATGAAGATGTGTCACTGCACCCATTCCCCCCACAATCCTAAGAAAAGAGAGGGTGTTTTCTGAATATGAAACACTTTTTCCCAGCAGCATCTCTGGATAAGCTCCGAAATAACACAAGTCAGCAGGACAAAGTCCTGAGACACTTACCACCCTCAATGAGGAAAAGAAACAAGGCAAAAAGAATTCAGTCATTTTATATCAGCCAAAACCGGAGGACAGAATGAGGGAAAGCTCAGTGCGGAGCTCTCAGTGTCAGGTGACAATGCTGAATTCTCTGGGCCCTGTGCTCCTGGGATCCTTGATGGAGGTGAAAAGAACCAACCCCCATAATTTGTTCTCAAACTGGGCACATTGCAAGAAACCCGATTCATCATCTGACATAGATAAGACTCTTAGATGTACTCCATATTTACTACAAGGTCAGAAGCATATATACCATACCCCCACTCTGAGACCTAAATGATTAGTTGTACTGCTTGTCCAAACGGAACAAGTTTGTTGACCAGACTTTGATTCAGCTTTACTCCTTCCCCAGACTCCCAAACTTTAGCCTGTCCTCAGCCTGAGCCCACAGACAACTCCTCCTGAGGACAGGCTAGCCTGGGGACCTGCCTTCCCAACCACGCCTGGTCTTTCCTACATTTGTTGACTCCTCTTTAAAACCAAAACTCTTTTTTGCCCAACTCTCCAGACGCTCACAGGTGGTATGATCAGAGCGCTCTCCCTATTGCACAGCCCTTTCTCCCCATCCCTGCAGTAATTCCTTTGAATGAAAGTATCTTAGGAAATTCGGATTTTTTATTTTCAACAGGCCGGACCAAGCGATCACAATTGCGCGTTTCTTATCCAAACTTTAGTCAGGCTCCAGTCCTCCCCACAGACCTTGTCCTCATCCCGTCTGCACAAGCACTGAGATGCAGATGAGGCCTCGCTGACTGGAGCCCACAGTGTGCTGACCACAGAGAGGGCTTTCCTGTCACACCGCCTTCCTGCTTCCCCTCCTTCCACAGAAAAGCCAGGCCCTTTCCTGTCTGATTTGAGAGGCGGGCACAGCTCTGAGATCCGAGCCTTGTCCCGACTGCACCAGACTCTGGAATCAAGTCTCCCGAAGGAAGTCCGAATTTGACGTTATCTGTCAGGTCCAGGGCGGGCCCCCCCACCCCCACCCCGCAT